CCCCCCCCCCAATCTTTTGCCTGATTTGTTTCATCTGAATAAATCTTCTAGTTGATAGGGTTTCACTGTACCCAGGTTTTTCTCAAGTCTTTGCAAGAGTCTGTCTTAACTGCTTCAAACAGTTTATTTGTGAATGCTGCATCCGAGTACTTGGTGTCTTCTCACACTCATCATTCATCTGCTGCTAGTGGGGCACTACTATCTAATAGATACCTTGAGATTTCTTAGTAATTAAGGCATTATATACTAACCACATGCAGAGAGGGTTCTGCTTTTACTATATACCTTCTCAACAGAGGTTTTGATAATATATCTTTGTGTCTGCAGCTTTTGACAGGGTAGCAGAAAAGAACACTTAGAAATTTGCTCTGCTTCTATTTCTGTGGAAATAGATCTCAGATGACGAGAACAAGCAGCAGGATTCAGAGTCGTTCGTGGAATATTGAGAGTGATTATCCTTAAATGCATTACCCTACTTAGAGCACAGAAATATTTATTTCTAATGGATGTGCAATTGAAGGAGGAAGTGAAATTTTTCTAAATGTATTCACAAACTTTCGCATTAAGGGGTTTCTGAAAACTATTGTTTCAGTTGCAGATAAGATTAAGAATCACTTCTCTGTTTTGGAACAATTGTAAAAAAAATTTTCTGTGGAAATAAAAACTTGAATGTTCTGAGTCTGGGGAGAAAGAAAGCATCTTCCCTGTGCCTCGCTGAAAATCTCAGCTGTATTTTTCAGAGAGGGTACTTCTGTAGGAGTAGTACCAAGCTTACCTTTAATGTAGTTTATGGCAAATCAGATAATGTGTTGAATGTGTAGCGTGGATGTTTGGGTGTGGGGGAGGTGGAAAAGATTAAATTTGGCACCAGAGTTGTCTCCAGACTAATAAGAAGCACTGTGTAGCTAGAATGATTTGTAAAAGGGAAAGTACCAGCCAGGGAATGCCAGAGGATATCTGAAATGCTTGGAATGTTTCTCCTCTGTTATCACAAGGGATAATAGTAGAAATTCTGCGTAGGGGCTTCATCTCTTTGGAAGGTAGAGACCTCTGGAGGAAGATGCAGCTTTCTGAGGCAGCTATGGTGCTTTTATCTCAAGACCAGTGTAATTCACTGTGAGGGGATCTGCTTGTATGAAAATAAGGAATAAAGCATATAGCTATGTGTTCCTGGTGGAAATTAATCAATTTTGTTCCCATAAATACTGTGTGTAATAGTCTTTTGCCTTAGCAGTACATCAGCCTTTTTTGTATGTTCTCTTTGTCTTTAGGAGGTCTGAATATCTTGTATTTTCTCATGCTTCCTTATGTGAAATAGAGTTTAAAAACAAACAAACAAAACCAACAAACAACACACTTTCCAGTAGAAACTTCTGTAGAAAGTATCTCATCACAATAACCTAGAAATAACCATAACCCTTCTGTATTTTGGATTGTTTTGTGGTTAGTTTTTTTCTGTGATGGGCACTTAAAAATTTATTTTCATTTGCAGTTTAAGATCCTAAATGTACCAATGTCTTCCCAACTTGCTGCAAACCATTGGAACCAACAGCAAGCTGAACAGGAGGAGAGAATGAGGATGAAAAAGCTCACTTTGGATATCAATGAACGGCAAGAACAAGAGGACTACCAGGGTAAGAAAATCACCAAGTATTTAATTTTTATTTTCAGAGGAACTTCCGTGGATCTACAGGAAAATATTGTTTGTGATAATTAGCAGTTCAAGTTCTGAATATTGATTTGCAATACTTCATGGAAAACCTGTATTTTAGTTTCAGTCATTCATTATTTACTTGCTGGTCTCTGTGCTTGAAGTTTTTATAGCTCTTCCATGAAAGGGAGTTTTCAAGCAGGCCTCAAATCTCAGCATTTCCATTTATTTTGGGAAAGGGGAAGAACTGAGATTGTTTCCTTAAAAATAAGGTAACACAAAATTAATCTTGATGTTTGTGGCATTGTCTCCATTACTGCAAGACAATTGAGTTGGATAAAAGAGGAATTAATTCTATGCAACTTAAACTCTGCTTTTTAGATATTAATAAGTATTTTAGATATTAATAGTATTTAGAATCTTCATCAGACTTGTTAAGACTTGCAAATACTAAGAGGTAACCTTCACCTGAGAAATAAAACTGTCACCTCAGCTTCAAATAGCTAAAGGTTCTAGGAGTGCTACAAATCTGGAGCGTAAGAATATATTAACAGAATGAAGGTTTCATACAAATTATATGATCTAATTTGGTTTTTAAAGGTATGTAAGTCAGGCATTTTAGAACCTGGACACATTGAAGCAAACAGTTAATACAACAGATCATATAGCCCCTAAACTGGTGCACTTGATATGTTTGGTTATTGGGTGGTTTGTGTTGGGTTTTTTGGTTTTGGGGTTTTTTTTTCAGACTCAACTTTCCTTGGCTTACTCATAGTAAACAAAGCCAGACCAATAAAACTGATGGTATTCGGTTCTTACGTTAGTATTTCCATTTAACATCTCCAAAGTTCTTGCTCTATTTTTTTGTAAAGATGTTGCAGTCTGGTGGTAATCACAGTATAAGTAGTTAATTAGCAGGAAATCTCATTTAAGGTATTTAGTGAAAGGTCATTATTCATCAAGAAATGGGAAATTTAAATTAAAGCAGCTCTAATTGTAAAACCACTATGGAATCTAACACTCCTTTAAGAACTTTGATAGTACAAGACCTAAATTTGTAATCGTAAAAAGGGAGTATTTTTCCAAAGTGAGTGTCTGCAGAGCTCTGAAATGGTAATACAGTATATTCTTAGTATTAAACATTGTAATCAGCTTAAAAACTTCTTTTCCGAGACACTCCCCTCTTATAAAGCCCACTTATGAAAAAGAAAGAGAAACAGTAGATTCCAGAATTAGACATTTAAGTGCTTTTCTCAGACTTTTTGTGGGTTTTTCCTCATTAATGATATTTCTGATATTTTTACTGGTCAGGGCATTTGGGGTTTTATGCTTTGTCATGACTTTGTATATGTATACGACTGTATATGACTTTGTTGGTATCTTTAAAATCAGTCTGTTTAATCTAGGATTTTATTGTGAGCAATTGTGCTTCTTATCCAAAAAAGGATCACATTGATTTTGTCCAAGAGAAATGAATCAGACAACTGATACCAATTGATAACCAGTAATAGGCAATTTTTTTAACTTTCTCAAAGATTTTCTAAGTACTGTGTATAAAGCATTATATAGGAGGAAAATCAACACAGAAGAAATAGGTTCCATAAGTGACATCCATTTTTAAAACAGCTGTTGATTCTTTGTTATTAACCTGGGTAATATATACAGTAAAACCGAAGTAAAAAAGACCTTTTAATCAGGTTAAATTAAACAGGCCAAATTACATTCCTCTCTGGAACTATTTTTTATTTAGATTGTGTGCAGTTGATTGTTACTTTTGAAGAGTCAGCTTGCCTGTAACAAGTTGGTATGTACGTACATTGAAAGAAAGAGTTGGTTTTAAATTTCTGTGTCAAGCTTTGAAGTTACCAAGGGAGGAAGAAGTCTCAATTTCTCGAAGAATCCCTCAGGGTTGTCCTAACATTTGCACATACATTTGGTTTTTTTCATCTGCACAGGGTAGCTAATAGATGAAAATTCACCTATGTACTTCAAAGTAGTTTCAGATAACTATTTAATACTTCAGCAATGTTTATGAGTATTACAAACATTTTTAATTTAAAGAAATATTAGGAACTGGGTGACTCTAATACTCTAGTATTTTTCTGTGTACATTTTTTTTTTTCTTCACTAAAACCAAAGATGGGTGACATGCCTTCAGCCTAGCTAATACAAATTGTGCTCGTTTGCCATTTCTTCCTTCTGTTATCTTCTCCATTACTCAACTTCTCAGTTACTGACTTTTCACAAACCCCGATATTTTCTTTCACCTACAGTGTGGAAAACGGAGGAGACAGGCGTGCACGTACTTGCTTGTTCATTGCTTACTTCTAGCACCTGGCTGGCAATGTACCATAATCTCTTCTTATTTTCTTCCTGGGTCTCGTCACTGCCAACAGAGATCTCTCCTGGCATACAGAATTGTTTTGAAGGATTTATTTCATGATGTTTACACAAATGGACTGTCAGTGTGTTGAATGGCTTTCTTTGCCTTTTCCAGGTGTTGATAGGGGAATATATAGAGTGTGAATAGATGGCTTATTAACTGTTGACACCAATATTGTATATTAAATCATTCATAGTTTCCCAGTTCCTCAAAGATTGGGTGGATAACTTACTGAAAGCTTCACGTGCATTTTGTAAATGGCAGGAGAATCTCTGTTTTGCCTTGTGCAAGTCATTGTGTGAGTAATGGAAGTTTGTTTCTAGCAGGTGATGGGTATGTGTCTCCAATGAGATTACCAGAGACTAGAGAACCAGACAGAGCAGACTTTCAAACATAATCTGTTTAACAGCTTATTCCACTTTTCCCCTTCATTTATTCCATCTGTCTCTTTGCCGAGTAATGTAGAGTCTTGCACAGGTGGACTGTCAGAAATACTTTCCATTAGATGCATTAACATATGGGCAGAGGTTATGTGGAGGGTCCCTATGATGTGTTTGCAATTATATTGGGTACTTAATAACCATTAACTTTGGTAAAGAACCATCTTTTTATCATAACAAAAATGAAATGAAATTTCAGAAATGAAGTTTTACCAAATGCCAAAACACTGATACTTCTGCCTAGCTTAAACTGTCCAAAAGTAGGATGTCCAGGGCTAAACTGGGTAGTGTGGGCTTCTTTCTGCACCACCTATTTCTTCCCACTGATCATAAAGTGAAAAATGCCATCTGTGAGACAGCTGGTGTAATGTAGGTCAGCTGAGTCACCCTCTTCAGGTGCCTGTCTTCTCTGTAAAAGGATCCTATTATGGCTAGCTTAGACTTAAATACCTGACTTCTCAATGCCTAATTTTAGGACAGGTTTCTTGCTGAGTCTTTAATTGGCAGCAACATTGTCTGGTTGTTACTATTTCAGGGCAGTTTAATGTGGCTTCTCATACTGCCGTGAACCTTTGTCCCAGATCATTGATAAAGAAAATGGTGGCTGGTATGTTTAGAAAGAAAAGGTCACAGCCCCTTTCTTAAGCACCTGTGATGAAAACCATTGCTGGCAGTTCCTTCTGTAAGAACATCTGGAAATGCAAGTTCATATTATGGAGTAGCTTGGATTTGTCAAAGCTGTCTATAAAATTTACTAACTTTTTAAAAATTACTGGAATAACTTGAGGAGTGTTGTTGTGGAATAACTTGAGGAGTGTTAACCCTGAAGTATAGAAAAGTGTGAATAAGGTTTTTTGTTGGTTTCTTTTTTTTACTACATGGCAGTGAAATGTGCTTGTGTAAATTCCTCTTTAAAAAGATGCACAGAAAATGTATTTAACTTTTTTTCTGTATGAAATTACAGAAATGTTGCAGTCTCTGGCACAGCGTCCAGCTCCAGCAAATACTAATCGTGAACGGCGGCCTCGTTACCAGCATCCGAAGGGAGCACCTAATGCAGATCTAATCTTTAAAACTGGTGGGAGGTAGGACAATCTTCCTTTAAATGTGGTAATTCTGGTTCTAGGCAAGTAATTACCTTCGTAATTGAAACAGATAATGATCTGTGTAGTGCAAGTGCATTTGTTAGTAGTTTCCATTCTAAAGCATTCTGTTAAAATACTGAGCAGTATTTTGTGCTTCTAACACAGTGTCTGTAAATACGTCCAAGGATTATTTTTCAGTTGAGAAATGGCTGGTAGAATCTGAGCCTCTTTTTATAGGGGAAAAGATGCAAGTCTGCTTTCTCAGTGAGAGGGGGTGGAAAATATTTTTTAGTATCTAGAGAAATTCCCATTGTGCTTTTTCAGTTTGGTGAATTTGAGAGCTATACCTCTGTATTTGAAGCCCTGAATGGAAAGTAAACATAGGAAAGGTGGGGAGGGGAGAGGAGAACCTTTGATTTATGGAGTGCAAGAGCATACCAAAACCAGTATTAACATGACAAGAGTCAATCCAGGTCGCCTAATAGTCATTTTACAGCTTTAATATATCTCAGTGTGTCTTTTCTCACTCGGAATAAGCTTGCGACTAAATCATTAAATTAACCCTGCAGCACAAATTTGAATAGACAGAGTTTCAGGTGAAATGCAAACTGCTTTCATGTTTCTCTTTTCTTTGCAAGTTAATTTGGGAGGTGGATAGATGGGAGCAGCAACTGGGAGGGGAGAGTTTACCTACTAATGGGTCTGTCTTTGTAAGCTACAAATAAGTTAATGTAATGTACTAACCCTGTGTTACACTAACATTGCCAACTTTTCTGGTACGTTTTTGTAGTCATTTTATAACTTCCTGATGATCACTCCACTGAGACCCCTATACAGATACTGCTTGTACAAAAAACCCCTCTTTTTTGAAAACAGACTGCAAGTTAAAATATTTTTTAAAAAATTAACCAGATGTGACTCAATAAAATGAGCAGTGCTGTCCATTCAGCTTTTTCATACCACTGTGGCCTAATACTGTCATAGAAACATGAACTATTCAGTTGCACTGAATAGCCATAATACTTGCAGGTGTATCATAAATAACTATGGAGTCTTCTCTTCTTCCGGTCATCTTTCCCAAATGCCTTGCAACCTGTATGAGGAGCACACTGCAGTTATTCTTTAAATACAGCAGCCTGACCAGTAGATGTGATACTTGCAGATTTTTTTAAAATGCAGTTCTTTTTAAAGCTTTTTATTTTCAGATGTTTTAGGGAAAATACAATTTAGGACTTCACTGTAAACTAGGTCAGACATTGTCCAGCGAACAGTTTAAGTAGTGTTTGCTTGTTCAAATAGCTGTGCCATGCGCTTGCAATTCTGATGTAGTTTTGTATTATGTAATTTACTCTTTGTTCCTTTTAATCTGTAAGCTCCTTAGAGCAGGGACCAGGAAGTTTGTTTTAGCAGGCATATTTTATTTGTTGTATAGTGCAATGCTCAGGCTTGCAGTCATGCATCAGTTGAGCCATCTTAGCCTGTAGTAAGGGAATGTTACTTTTCTTAGGCCCAGCTGAAAGATATTTAAGCAGAGATTTATTTATTGGAGGCTGTGGGTCCACCAATGGCTTACCATTTGTGGTACAGATTCTGTCACCTATATTTTTAGAGCTTCTGATTTATAGGATATACTGAAGATTGTCTTCTGACTTTGAAGGGTGAACTGCAGTCTCTCTGCCCAGACTACCCTCATGTTTTAGTTCAGAAGTTACCCCATGGACTCTGAGGACGCTAGAGTATCTTCCTATTTGCTGGGAGCAAATAGGAGCTGAGCTATTAATTTTAGTATCTGTTTGGAGAAGTTTTCACTTTCCTACATGATAGAACCAATTTGTATAACTACAGATGTTATCATTTACATGATGAGTGAGCTGTGTTGCGTTGTTTCTTCTTTGTATATGAAGAAGACTGATACGTTATTTTCTTGCAATAGTAACTCAACTTTACCAGAAATAATGAATGTTATTTTCTATAAGGTATGCAGCTTTTTATTTTAAATTACCTGAGGTTAGGGGTAATCTGAGCAAGTAAATCTCCTGGTTGATTCCACTGTAATGTACAATGTGACAGGTTCTGATAGCTAAGGTTGGGATGAGGACTTTCTTACGTTTCAAGTAGTGTTAAGAGTAGAGAAATTGATGTGGTGTTTTTACCCTTATTTTTGTGTTGCTAAACGTGTTTGAAACACAGTGCTTAGGACATGTTTTAGAAAGTTAAATCCAAATCTACCCATCATAATGGATGATTCAAAAATTAATGAAGGCAGCACTGGGTTCTCTTGTATGTTTTTGGCCTTGAACAACTGGATCTAGCTTTGCAATTAGCCCTGCTGTAACAGCAGATGTGGACTAGATGACCTCCAGGGGGCCCTTGGAACCTAATTTTTTCTGTGATTCTGTTTTGGTCTAGCTGGGTGCTAAACCAAAACAAAATCAAAAAACCCCAAAACACCCATAGATGTGTTGCCTCCTTTGCCTGTGATAAACCCACAGTAAATGGAAGAATGGGGAACAGGCTGGGGCTATACAGCATGCATTTTGTTAAAAAACAAGAGAGAAATCCTTTGCAGTGTTTACTTTGTTATCTATTAATGTCCTTTTTCTGTATTGAATTAAATGTAGTGAGATTGACAGGCTTTGTCAGATCGCTTATTATTTAGTGTGTGCAAAATGCTGGATCAAAAATTGGAGTTTATTGCTATTTATTTGTAATCGCCTGCTTGTATAGCCTCAGGTTTTAAGACCTGCTAATCCTGCAAGGAGGAGATTCTTTTTGGGATTCGTACATTTAAGGCTGACTGGCCTTAAAGGTAACTTACTGTGACTCCATTAAAAGTAGGGTTCCTTGATCTGCTTCAGCAGAACTGGGAAGGCAACAGTTTTCACTCTTGCCTCCAGTTCTATAGCATTTGTGTATTAAAAGAGGACTGTGGCTATCAAGCTGTTAACTGATACCTTCAGGAAACACAAAATTTACAAAAGTAGGTTTTTTCGGTGATGGGATTATCATGAAAATATTCTACAGTTTTGGAGAACAGCCTCTCACTTCCTTTGTTTAAAGAGGATTGAGATCCATTAAATGGCTTGCTTATAAAATGAAATGTAAATAACCACATTTTATGAAATCTATTTAAAAACACTGATTACCAAGAAGGAAAAAAGAATTGCAGTGAGAAATTTGACTGTAGAGAAGCAAGCCTTACCAAGGAGTTTTTTAGCTTGTTAAACCTCTCCTTATTAAAAGCAGTAACCTCAAAACTCACTGCTGTTTTGAAAGTATAGTAAAGAAAGAGGACCTCTCTATGTCAAAAGGCCTATTGGGATGCAGATGTAAGCTGACAAACTAAATCATATTCAAGTTAATTGGTAATTTCAGGTCTCGTATTTGCATCTGACTCTTATTTCTGTTTAACCCATGTAATAAAGAAAAATTAAGCATAAAGGTAATAACAGGATGCTAGTATTTTATTAGTTAAATATTCTCATAATAAAGAGTACTTCATTAATGCTGAAAAATCAGACTATAGATAATAAGGAAAAATGTGAATTTAATGTGACTTCCTGTTTCGGCTACTGGACAAACACACTTCATACTTCACCTGCTATGTAGGGGATGTATTGACCAATATTATACTTTGAAGCCTTGAATTCACTTCTTATTGACATATACCAGAAGTCTTGGGCAGCCTAAATCCAATTTCTCTGTTAGCCTCAGTCTAGCTGATTGTCGTAGACTGTCTCAAACTAGACAAACTCTTGGGTGTTGGCGTTGCGCTGTCTTGAACTGACAAATCTATCGCTTGGTAGATCACGGAGCTTTTGAAATCTTTAGTTGTCATTTCAATGATCTCTTGTATTCTTTTCAAAAAAAAATGAGGTCATCACTTTAGCAGTAATATTTTACTCTTGCTACAGAGATTTTTATGATGAAATGGCTCCCATCTTCACATTCTAGATATCATAAATACTAAAAAATTCAGTGCTCTATTTAATTGTATGCTAGCTCAGTTCACCTTATTCTTTGCCATCTTTTTCACCAGTATTTTAATCTCGACCTTTTCTCAGTTGTCATTCTTGATCCTGTACTACATCCTTTTCCCTAATTACATACACATGCTAGTGTAGCTTTCCATGAAAGCCATTCAAACTCAGCAGACAAATTCCAACCTCCCTTTTCAGCTGTTTTATGGGAGGAAAGCCCAGGGTAGGAACTTGAAGGAGGGGTTTCCAAATCCTGCAAGGTTTTTTGGTGGACTGCACTAGAATTGAACAGGGGAAAAAAAAAAACTTAGGTCCTCAGCTTTTTCTCTCAGCAACATGGTGCTTGTTAGGCTCTGCAAATGTAGCTCTGAGTCTAACCCATATAGCAAAGGTGACGAGAGACCTGATCACACTTATAGTTTAGAGGGAAAGGAAGGCAAGATTTTGTTTATTAGCATACTCACTTATAAAGACTCTTTGTTTAAAAAAGTTGTTTCAATATAAATTAATAATAATAATAATAACAAACCAAACAAAACCCCCTGCAGCTTTGTGGCCCTCTGGAAACTAACCACCAATCCTGAAAACACCTTCCTGATAATAGCGCACTTTGCATACTATGACTTTGATTTGATTTTGTCAGAGTATTTTATTTTTGTTGAACAGGTGAGAATATAAAATAACTTGCACAACTTAAGATTCTCTTACTTAGGTGAGTCTAGCTTTTGTGGATTATTTGAATCTGTGATGTTTACTATGTGGAAGTTGATAATTCAGATTTGTTAGGAAATGACCAGGGCACCTTAGTATTTTATTAGTCCAGAAACACACACTCTGAAATATGATTGTTCCCGAGAATATATTCCTGCACGGCTAAATTGATAACAGCTGTTTAAAATCCAGTGCTACACTTTTTCAATACAAAATTACAGAATGTAATTTCCAATTTTGCTGTTGAGAACTTAGTCACACCAGCAGTAGTAATGCGTTTAGAATAAGTCTAAACACCTTTACACTTGTTGAATTTTCTCTCCAGCCCAAATTACGGTACAGTATGTCTGTAATCTCTGTTACTGCATTCATTACTGTGGAATCAAGTCACGGTCTGATATGTGAGCACACTTACACACTCCCATGTGGAAGGCAAGTGATATTTTGTCCAATTTCCTTGGATGATCTGTAAGACAGGAAAGAAGCTGACTGTGGCATGACAGGTACTTGAATTTAAGTTTCCCAGGACTTAAGTTAGTACTCTCCAGTATTTTTCTTCTCTTGCCAGTACACGGGAATGCGCACATACTGTTTATTCTCAGTGGGCAGTTTTGTGGGAGGAGAGCAGAAAGCAAAGATTAGTCTCCGTGAGTTATCTCTGCTGTTCATGCAGGCAACACTTCAGAGGAGGAATCTAAACTTCAGAGGCTGTTTTCCTCTTCAAGAACTGTCCTCCCCCCTAAAGCTCATGCATCTGAAAGCAAGAAAATGTGTTCAGCAGAATAAGGCACACAAAGAAAAGAACTGTTCATTAAAGAGCATTATGTTTAAAACAGAAAAATACATTTCAGGTGTTCATTGTGTTTCTATTTCATGTTCCTGTTTTTGGTTAATGTGATTAGGAGAGGGAGAGAACAGAAAGCACCAAAGCTGAGATTAGTCATGAAAAGCAAAGCAGCAAGTGAGGTTTGAGAGGAGGTGTTTGCAGGACAAGGGAGGTGCCTGAAATTCGTGAATACATACATTACTCCAGAAATACATAAAACGTTGTGGGTTGGTGTAGGACATGAAAGGATTAGGGAAAAGTGTGCAACTTCATCTCAAAAATCTCACATGTTAAGAAATAATAAGAATTTTTTGTGATCTTGTGATGTCAACGGTGTGCAAAAAGGACTTGATTTCATAAGTCACATGTATTCTCCTGGGCACGTTTCAACTCAAGCCATAAGGTTGTCTTGCTGACTTAAATTCTGCCAACTTCACATGTGCAATGGATTTGCGACTATTTCCTAGCCTATGCTATGGTGTAGTGTTTCTGCGCCTTTTTACAAGTTCTGGTTTTCTACTCCAGCCATGATGAGGTAAAAGTTTATCTGTGTGTTTCTCTATCACATGGAGTATTTAGGCAGTATTAATACTTACGCAGAGGTGTTGAAAAGATGACTATAAGATTTTTATACAAATTAATAACTGCAGGGAAGGGAGGTGGGGGAGTAGGTTGCAAAAAAAACTTACTCATTTTACACATACAGTTCAAGATGTCTTTAATTACAGCTATGTACAAAGTTTGACCTTGCCAAATATAGGTTTGGATCAAGTTGACTAATTTGGAGAGAAATGTCATGTGAAATACTTCTTTTTGGAAAGGCTGCTACTAAGATCTTTACCAGCAGCATCTCGCCCTAATCCTTTGACACTCTACTTACTCTGCCTTATCTGCCGCCAGCATGCCACGGCAGCTGCTCTTTTGGATGAGAGTCATTTTTACAAAGTTAGATACATGCAGCTAGTCCCGGCCTTTCTCCTTCCCTCCCCATCAACAGTGGAATTATTTTTTGAAGGGAGATGGAGAGGTGAAAGCATGATTCTGCAATTCATTGATGTTTGAAGTTTCTTCTCAGTTGTAGTGTTCTGCAAGTGAAATCTCATTTTACTAAATGTATTAAAATCAAAGTTCCTTTCTTTTGCATCCACAAAGCCAATGTTCCTGATACCGAGTGTGCCACAAAGAATTGGAATTATTATATTATGTAACACTAAAAGATGGTTAAAACCAAGTAATAGAAGCAATACTGCAGTAAGTTCTAGTGCTGCATCAGCTCAGTACTTCTGACAAAAATACACAGTGTGTTTAAATAAAATACACAAATACTGGATAACAAAGCAAAGCAATACATAAGAATACAGAATTACTGTGAAAGCTTTATCTGTTACAGGAAATGCAGAAGTTACTATGTCCAGTTAACGTACTTGTAACTTGTAACTTTCCTTGCAAGATTTTCAATAAAAACTAGGTTTAGATTACATTACTGTTCAACAAATGCTTGAGGTTTATAGGCTAATGTAAAGAAACATGAATGGTTTTGTTTACATGGTGAGACTGGGGTGTGTAGCCCTGGAGCTTTCTTGTAATTGTAAACGTCTAACTTTTACTTTGCTTTGTACTACTAGATTTTAATTTGCAGTCTAGAAATCAACTGAAAACCAGCCTGGATACAGTAACTGACAGTTGTGCTGAAGTTAGTGATACTAGATTAGCATTACTGATAGATTACTCTGCTCTTGTTGAATCACATGCCCGCAAATCAGTGTAAATTTTCAATGCATATGTACGTTCTTAAGAGAATTAAATATGACTTTTTCTGGGTAGAGACATGTTTTTCATGAACAAGGGATGACTGAAGATTTTAATACAACTGTTGACTCTAAAAATGTTCTGAACAATTATTTGACCCTAGACATTTCTGCAGTACTTCTAAACATTAAGAAACTGCACAAAAAGATGAAAACTCTTTAAAATAACTTGTACTGCAACAAATTCACAGCTGTGCACTCCAGTAGGAGGATAAGGCAGCTGTCTATTTCTGAACCATTTTAGGCTTGTCTGCTGAAATTGTGTGTTACCACCTTCTTTTGTCTGATGTGGTCTTTTGAAAAATTTGTGCAGATAATAGAAATAAGTAACTTCAATATGTAGGGGCTAAAAGAATACCAAAATCACTAGCAGTTGATTCCACTGGTTGCTAACCTATATAGTATTGGATATCTCATATTAAACTATTTATTTTTTCCTTTTTTTTCTTAGGAGACGTTGATCCAGCAGCAAGTGTCATTTCATTAGGTCCTGTATCTCTGATGTTGTGGATAGTGGAGTCCTCCAGCGATTAAATGAGAGCAGTGGACACATCTCAGCATGTCAGTCTAGAGCGTTCAGAATCGAAACCTGGGACAGGCTGGGGCCGTGGGGCAGAAACAACAGCCTCCTCTCTTCCCCCCCAACCCCACACAGAACAAGTGGAAGCTTCCAGTCATGGCCTACAAAAAAAAAAAAAAAAGCTTTTTGTTATGGGAACTGCGTTGAGGGTTAATTTTCTCATAAGAGCAGAAGTAAATGAATCAGATGGTTAACTTGACCAGTGAGCAGCTCGGTGAAAGTAAAGATCAACCTGAAATTCAGATGGATTACACTGGAATGGAAAAGGTCTTTGACAGCTCAGTATGTGGGAGAACAAAGTTCTAAACTTGACGCAAGTTACTTTATCTCCGAATCGAGCACTTTGCGTTGGAAGGATATTCTTTGGGGGCTGTAAATCTACAGTAGAAAAATGTAGAGCAAATGGTGAAATCTGAAAGAAAACCCTGCCAAGTAGGATAACTTCTTATCAAACACTCCTAAGCGAGAAAGTTTTTGGTTAAGGAACAGTCTTTTGCTGCCAGATGAGCAAGAAAGAGGGGGTGGGGAGGGGTGAAAAATTCAAGAGCCAAGGAGGTAAAATGTCTGTTAAGGTTTAAAATAGAATGTGAAGTTGATTAATACAGGGTGTTGACTCGTACTGCTTGGAACAGCCTGACACCAGCCTAAGGACAGGGATATGGTTGAGCCCATTGTATGTATCATTGAAAACCAAAATGTGCCAGTCAGCATAACAGGAGGATGTCAAGGGGTGGATCCCAATACTTTGTTGATCTTCATGGGTTGATAAGCCTCTGTGTCTATTGAAACAAAAAAAAAAAGTTTAAAAAAAAAAAAAAATTTAAGTCTGGAAACAAGTAGAATTTTTATTTTTTTCTAAGTAGAAATGAGGTTTCTTGGTCTGTTTCTGACAATCTGTTATTTATTAGCATAGTTTTTTGTTTGCTTTCAGGTAGAGGTTGTTAATTGAGTTAAGGAGCTCATCTGTATGTTACTACTAATTCTTTTTTCTAGCTCTTTTAAAATCCTTTTTACCACTGTTTTTGGTTTCTGCATGTAGGGAGAGAGACTTGTAAAATTGTAACATTTCATACAGAAATGCCGCCCGATCTTCACCAGCTTCAGAAATCTGACCTTTGCCAATGCTGCAATAAAGTGTTGTAATTTAGAATTGGTGTCTGTCTCTTTACATTGACTTTGTTCTTCTGAAATGATGTTTTGAAGAGTTTGTGGTATATCGGGGCTGTAGCTGGGACAGCGCTTGGTACAAACAACATAAAAATAGATGGCATTTTACCAAAGCAGGAGGATTCCTGCCCCAAGAAACACATTTGAATCACACTTAGTAAATGCAAGATTTTCTTACTGTTTAGCAAGGAATTGTGAAACTGAGATCATCATTTCACATAACATAAGCTGTCGTATGCATTTAATTTAATTTGAGTTGAATTAAGCTGGTTTTGGCTAGATTAATAGTAAGTTCCCTCTCGTAGCTCGTTGCATCGGCATCTCATTCACGCCCTAACATGTGAAAGGGTGAAACGCTGTGCTGGTCCATACATGGACCAACACCAGAGAGAAGAGGAGCAGAACCCCTCTTGGTGACAATTTGCTTGAAAACGTAAGTGAAATTGTGGTCAAATAGCATTTCTGTTGCTGTCACCGGGCAGTCCTGAAATAAAGACAGCAGCCTTCTACTTTGGCTAGTTATACTGCTAGCTCAAGCAGTTACAGTGAATTTTAAAATGCATAAGCTTGGCAGCGATGCTGTGGAGAGAAGTTGTCAAGGTTTTTACAATATACCTACTTAAAGTTACATTCTTTAGTCTCAGAATCGAGCGTTGAGAGTGGAAAAACTGCAAGTGCAGCTTTAGGTCTGCTCCTTTCATTCACGTGCTGTAAGGACAGTCGGGGATTGAGAAGTGCTGGAATGATTACAGCACGTTTTCCCCGAGGATGTCGCTGGCCAGGCTGGTGGTAGACAACTTCCAGTTTGCGGAGCATGGCTAGAAGTTTTTATAACATCACATGTAGATGTGTTTTTCTAGATTTCTGCGGGACTTAGATCTCATTTTGCCAGTATCCGGAATGTGTGCGGTCACCCAAACCCCACCTTTTCCAAAGCGTCTCTGTGCCGTGGCTGTGGGACGCACGTGCCCCATGAGGAGGAGTACGTTGTAGGAAGACCAGGTCTTTGTTTCAAGTCTTGTGTTTGAACAGCCCGTGTGTTTCTTAGATTTCTGTGGGACTTAGATCTCATTTTGTAAGGAGGCCAGTATCCGGAATGTGTGCGGTCACCCAAACCCCACCTTTTCCAAAGCGTCTCTGTGCCGTGGCTGTGGGACGCACGTGCCCCATGAGGAGGAGTACGTTGTAGGAAGACCAGGTCTTTGTTTCAAGTCTTGTGTTTGAACAGCCCGTGTGTTTCTTTTCATATCATTTTTTTCCCACATACAATTTGTGGGTGCATTTATTAATGAAATTTGTAACTCTGAGCTCCTCCAGGAATGTCTTCTACAGCAATATGACCATATCCATTGGTCAAATCTAATTCCCACTCCCTGATGAAAAATGCCTACCAATTCCTAATAGCAAATTAAGCATCTAATTGTGGTTCAAACTAAAGTCAACTTCCTTTTCTCAACATGCTGCGTAGTTTCAAAGGCATTTGGTTTATCGAAATTGAATAACTGCATAAAAATAAAACGTGAATTCACATTAGCTTTGTTTTGTATCTGTCAATCTAATGCCTTGGATGGAATTTGGATCAATGGAAATATTCTTATGAAACTATTTGCTGAAAATAGTTTGGGGTCAGCTGGAGCTTTCCCTTACTTCAGGCTGACATCAATTGGTGAAACCTTTTGAAGTTTAATTTTAAAATAAACTCTTCTGAAGTTCTCATGAATAAAAATCTCATGTCAAAAATCATGATGAGTGAAACCATCAGGGTTGAACACAAGCAGCGAAAAAAAAAATGTTTGGATCCTATTTATTCTTTGCTTTTCCTTTTGGATCCTATTTATTCTTTCCTTTTCCATTTGCTAGACCCGGTGGTGCGGCTGGATGCTGTCCCGCTGCTTCCAGAGCAGTTTTGCCATCTGATTCACGTACAATTTGTTGCCGTAGGGATTGCACGGCTTCCTTTCATTTTACGTCATTAGAATGGCTTGTCTTCCTTTAATAAATATTTAATTAAAATGGTCAGGTGAGCAGCCTGGTTTTGATACAGGAACAGGGGAATAACCTGTCTTTTGATCATTGCTTGTCTGTTATCTATGAATATTGCTGCTTTATCCAGGTTACAGGATGTTTATTTTAATTAATGAAGTTATGTCTAATATCGTTGCTCCTCTTTTCCTACAGTACAGTGACCCGCAGGGGCGACGGGTCACTGGGGAAATCATGCCGAACTCAAGCTGTGGCATCCTTTGATGGGAGACAGGATGTTCCTCCTCAAGGGATGCTAGTCAACGGTGCTCTTGCAAAGACTATTTCTAAAGCCGCGTTCCCGAACACACGTGGAAGTAGTTAAATCAGAAAAATGTACGTAGATGAAGGAGAAATTGTTTCACGTCCTTGATTGCGTAAAAGATTTCTGTTATCTTATCGTTCTCTGGAAAGAATTTGGACTCGACTCAGGTCCAGGCATTTGGAGTTGCGTCTTCACTGATGTGAGGCTCGTTGAGCTGGCTTGCTGACAACCAGAAAATGTGTTGCATGATTGTACTCAACGATATTTTTGCCTTAATTTTTGATGGTAATCTCTCTTCCAGCATCTCTCAAGCCCCTAAAACTCAAGACAGGGACTGGGGGAATGAAGTCCGTGTTCCCGCCCCCCCCGCCCCCGCCCTTGTAGGAGATCAGGAACCTAAGGAAGGACCTGAGGAACCTAAACATATGTAAGTCCATGGGACCTGGTGAGGTGCACCCTAGGCTGGAACACCTCTCCTGTGAAGAAAGGCTGAGAGAGTTGGTTCAGCCTGGAGAAGAGAAGGCTCCAGGGAGACCTTATTGCAGCCTTTCAGTACTTAAAGGGGGCTTATAAGAAGGTGGGGACAGACTTTTTACCAGGGCCTGTAGTGACAGGACAAGGGGCAACAGTTTTAAACTGAAAGAGGGTGGGTTTAGGTTGGACATAGGGAAGAAATTCTTTACAATGAGGGTGGTGAGACACTGGAACAGGTTGCCCGGAGAAGCTGTGGATGTGCCATCATTGGAAGTGTTCAAGGCCAGGTTGGACGGGGCTTTGAGCAACCTGGTCTAGTGGAAGGTGTCCCTGCCCATGGCAGGGGGTTGGACTACATGATCTTTAAGGTCCCTTCCAACCCAAACCATTCTGTGATTTCGTGATTTATGGCACATCACTTGAAAGCCTGTTTGAGCTGAGGTGCTGTTAGTCCTTCTCCGGGATGGAGCCAAGGTGGCTGGGAAGCTCCGCAATCGGGAAGTGCCAGGTTCGCCCGGGAATGTCAACACTTACAGGCCTTGAACACTTACAACACCTTGAACTCCAGCTGGCGGTATCGGCTGGCTTTTTTTGCCCAGCCAATGCTGTAATGGGATAAAATTTTAAAAATGGTATAATTTTTTTTTATGAATTATTTATGGTTTTTTTTTTTTATGAATTGCTGAGTTTTCAGACTTGTTCTAATTTTATTAACTTCCCAAGCCCTCAGAGCAGTAAGTCAGTTCTGCTGTTTGTGTTACGGAGATAAAAATATATGCAAACACATCAATGCACATACACCGCGGCACACACGCATAATGTAATTTTATGTATATTAAGGCTTAGAAAACCACCTCCGTATTGTGGAGAGTGCCTGATTTGCTCAAGTTTTCAGGATTTCTTTGTTCGCCCTTCCCGGTGAAGCAGTAATGGTGTGCTTGGCAGGGCGGCACGGTGAGAGCTGCGAGGAGTTACCGTGTTCGGCTCCGGCAGTTTGCTGACGCAGCCATCTCTTTACTTTACATGGGAACGCATTTGACTTAAGCAAATGCGGTGCCGTTGCAAAGTGCTGACTTGGGGAAATAACCCAGGACGGGCTTCGCGGGCTGGCAGCGCGGCTTTTCCCAGCCCGTCCAACCCGATCAGCATCAGAACGGCCGCGGCCAAGGGCGAGCAATTAATAGCCCGTGCACGTTCGACCTGAACGACCTCCGAGGCGGCGTTCGCGGGCCTGGCAGCAGTGTCAGCACTGGGGGAGGCACCGCGCTGACCCAGCACGGACGCTGAGCCGCTATCGGCTACGTGCTCGTTATCGAAATGGTCATTGCGCTTTTCTGTCGGGAGGTATAAATGAAGGTAGATAAATGAAAAAGCAAGTATACAAACTTGCTAATTACTACTGTCCCCCAAAAGTGGTACTGTAGTATTAAGGCCACATATCCCAGCTAGGTGAGTGAATATTTTCAGAATAAACACAGTAATAATAATAATACC